AGAACCTTTTATATGGCAAGGCTTTAACGCGCGCTGTTTGTACCACTGGGTGGTATGTTTCATCTGTTAGTTATACAACTTGCATTAAATATAAAATGAACTCATTTCTGAAAATTTGAACATGGCTTCATCTTCATTCTTCGCGCGCGCAGGGACACATAACTCCATTGTTAAGCTTCGAAAAGCTTCATTTCTCAGCCAAATCGAAAGATGTAAATATCAAACCTGCCTAAAATTTGAATACGAATCTAACCACATAATTTTCAAAAGATATGGGTCGAAGGTTAGCATGAATTTTGTTCAGTACTAAAACTAAAACCTAACTGATCAGAGAAGAAATTCTCAATGTACACGCAAAGATAATTAAAACCATGGACATGGTCAGCTTCCTAGACATGATATTTATATCTTTTCTTCATAATGTATATACAAATGATGCTTGAATGAAGAGTTCCAAGTTTGAAAAACTTACCTCTTGGAGTGAAATTCGAAGGACTTCTACACGAATTCCAGAAATGGTTTGATGATGGATTAAGCTTGCATGGACCTTACTTGAGCTAGTGGGATCACTACTTTGCTTTAAAAGTCAAAAGGATTTTGGAGTTGGCTCTTCAAAGTCAGAAATGGCAAGCAATGTGGCTTTCGATGTAGATTTTGAGTTCAAGGAGTTTTGAAAAGTTTTGGGAGTGTTCTAAGGCTGGTGTATGGAAGCTTAGTGAATCGAAAGGCCAAAAAAAATGCACAGAGGGATTTGAGATTCTGTGTGTAAAGTTAGAACGTGCCAAGTTTTGTGCTTGTGTGCAGGTTCTGAGTTTTTGAGAGTTTGGGAGTGTTTGAGGATTTTTCAACACACAATAATTTGGCCCCTTTAGCTTGCAAATGGTCTCTCCATTTATAGAGAAAAGGTTTGGGAAGTTGAAGTAATCAGATTTTTAAGATAATAAATTATGGTTTATTTGAAAATTAAAAAATCAAGTTGAATAGATTTTTATGGTTCCAAAGTTCAAGTACAAGTATGGCTTGATGTTTGTTGGGTGCAAGAGATTTGATTCATGCTTTTGATATTGCTTGCAATTAGAGATAAAGGTCACAAGGCTCAATGCATTGACATTTTGCATAAAGCTTGATTTTCTAAAATGGCAATGGTAACTTTGTGCCATTAAGGGAAAATTAGCTTGGACAATACTTTAAGCACTTGGGTAAGAGTTTAATTAATTGTGTAAACAATTAATTATGAAGTGAAACACAAGTTTGAGGCCTGCAAAGCAAGATCATGTAGCATGGCCTATGGATTTGATCAATGTTCTTCAAAATTCTGTCTTCGAATTGATTCCTTCTACAAAGATCTTTAATCTCTGTAGAACTTTGATCTTTTTCTTTACTCTGGTCGAATACTCAATCTTTCATTTTGATCACATAGATCCACAACTTTCGACCAAATTCATCAACAGAAAAAACAATATTGTTTCCACCAATTGTATGTTCTTCAAATGGACCACACAACCTTTGACCAAACTCATCAACAGACAAAACAATATTTTTTCCACCAATTGTATGTTCTTCGAATGGACCATACAATCTTCGACCAAACTCATCAATAGACAAAACAATATTGTTTCCACCAATTATATGTTCTTCGAATGGACCACACAACCTTCGACCAAACTCATCAATAGACAAAACAATATTGTTTCCACCAATTGTATGTTCTTCAAATGGATCGCATTCATCTGAATGTACCACTTTGAGTATGCAAGACGATCTCATTGGCACAGTCGAAATAAAAGAATTTCTGGATTACTTTCCTACTAAACAAACTTCACAAAGTTTTTTCAGGCATCTCAAGACTTGTAATTCATAGTGTCGAAACTATCTGTGTCGAAGGGTTTAGATGTGGATAGAAGCAGGTTGCTCGAAGGAAGCCATTTCCCAGTCGAAGCAAGCATGAAGATAAACTTGTAATTCATAGTGTCGAAACTATGTGTGTCAAAGGGTTTAGTATGTGGATTGAAGCAGGTTTAGAGGTGGATTGAAGCAGGTTGCTCGAAGGAAACCATTGCTCAATCAAAGCTTGTGAATTGAAGCAAGCTTGCTCTTCTTCGACTTATCAAAATCTTCCCACCACTCCTTTTTGATCAGTCATGTGGTTCGAATAGCCTGAACCAGATTTTGAATTTGAACTATTATCTACAGCTGCACACCTTTTTTATCTGCTTTGCCCTATCGACAGTTTCTTCTTCCTCCTTTCGAGGATTCAGAAGTTCCATCTTCGACTTGATGCTTGAGAGCCCAATATGATTCATGGAAACTATATGAGGCATTAAAAGTCCAATTGTACTTGTCCAAATCCAAACCTTAATTTGAGCCCAGTGTTAAGAAAGTGTCTTGAGCTGATCAAACCTTATGCAATTTTGAGAATGGAGATTTTTGTGAGAGAATCTTTGAGAAATTGAGATGGAAAATTTTATGGTACAACACATAGGTGTTGGTCTGAGGTTGTTATGTGGTTCAGCCAATGAGAGGCTGCCACTTGAAATGTTATGTGGTTTCTGATTTATTTTATTTTTATTTTATTTTATTTTTAACTCATTTTACTTTAGAAATTGATAATAAATTCATTTTTACTCAAAAAAATCTCAAAATAATTTATAAAATTCTCTCTGATTTTTATTCATCTGATTCTTATTTTTTTAGAATTTTTATTTTTAGTTTTACTATTTTTCATATATTTTAGATTATTTTCTTTATTTTAATTGATTTAAAAATAGTTTTGTGTTTCTAAAAATTACCAAAATTTTTCTAAAAATATTAGATATTATTTCTGATTTTTCTATGGTCTTCTTTGAAATTTATTTGATGTTTTGAGTATAATTTGATATTTTGAGTATACTTTGATATTTTTACCTTTTATTTTTATTTCAAAATCAATTAAAAAAAATCATTTTCATGCGTTTTATTTGTGTTTATTGCATTTTTAATTTTTGTCTGACTCTTGTTGAGTGGTTGGCCTTGATTTTTAGCTTATTTGATCATAAGTTTCATCTACATTATTGGATCTTGGGTGTTGATGGGGTAAAAACCCTATCCATCAAAATGAAATAATGATTTTGATGATAACTTGATTAATGCGTTGATCCAATTCAGGATTTATTTTCTTGTTATATCTACTTCATCTCTCTCTTCTTCTTTTTTTCTTTTCTTGATCAATTGGATGATGATGATTCATCTTTGTTCAATTAGGTTTGGGTTGATACTTGATGAACTTTCATCATTTCAAATCTACCTCTAAGTGATCAATTGATCACACTTTGGATTAGTGAAAGTTTGTCCTAAGGTATCATGAAGAATTTGATTGATGTAACGATCTCATCTCGTTGACTTAGTCTTGATCACCGTTGCTTTTAAACACGGTGTGCATTATATACAATACACCTATATTATTTCGGTCCATACTCAAATAGGTGCAACTTCTATATAAGTTCACTTATGATTGCTTAACATAGCGTCAAATTGTCCTGAATCGAAATACTAATTACTAACACTAATTATAATTGTATTAACATTTAATTTTCTGCACCTTTACAATTTACGTCATTTAAATTTCCCGCAATTTACTTTATATCCTTTACTTTTAGCATCTTTATTATTCTTGTCATTTTACTTTCTTGTCTTTATTTTTATGCCAATTTTCTTTTGCTCCTTGAGCACTTTATTTTATATCCTTTTTCTTTTGCTCCTTGCGCATTTTTTCTTCTTTCTTCAAAGTCATTAATAAATACTTGAATCTTAAAAAACTTAATGGCTATCTTTTGGACTATGGTTACTATCCACTGCTTATGAAGATTTGGACCTTTGGACTTAGGATAGACCCTTGGACTTTCATCTGGACCATGAGACCTTGAGACTTTGATCCATCTGAGACCTTAGGACTTTCACCTGATCATTAGGTTTTATCTGTTTGTTTGTTTTTGTGTGTTTTGTCTGATGCGGGAACATTCATCTGAAACATCAAGTTTTATCTGATACATGGAAAGTCATCGGCACCTTTTGTTTTTCATATGATGCTGAGACCTTGAGTTTGCACCCTGGGCACTAAACTTTCATCTGATGTTTATAATGTTCATTTGATTACTTGCTTATGTGTGACTTAATTCAAAGGGAATGGATGCATAGTTTGACTTATGTCGAAATATTTGCTCTAGCTTGATCATATATTTTCTACCTTTGTTTTTATTTTATGCTTTACGGATAGTCCATTCATCTCTTGCCCATCTTCTTTAATTTTCAAAACTTCTCCATTTTTCAAACCTTCTTGTTTTCTTAAATTTAAACCACTTTCATTAAAAATCTGACTTTGTCAAGTGTATTTTCAAAACTTTATTTTTTTTAATAAATGCTAAAACACTCTTAAATATATTAAAACAATTTCAAAAGACTTAAAAAAAATTTCGAACTCATTCAAACTATTTTTACTATTTTGACTTTTCATTTTAATATTTTTTCCAAAGATTGGACATGAGTTATGTTCATAATTGAGATGTAATTCTCCTATCTTCATGATATTGGTTGATATGATGTTGATCATTTTCTGCTTGAAAGAGCTGGTGACATACTTGTTGATCTTTATTCAAAATGGAGTCATTCTTTCATTATGATGCAAAAATCCATTTTTCTATGTTTATGGATGATTAGTTGAGTCCTCTCCTTAAATTGACAAAATATCACTTCGAACATTTTAATATTTATTTATTTATTTACTTACAAAATAATATTTTTGTATACTTTTCCAGCCATGTTGGTGACGAACAAAGAAAAAGAATAGCATGTAAGAACTTGTTGAGTTTTCACTTTTAACAGACTTGAACACGAAAACTCTACGTCTAACATCACACCCAGACCCAGTCAAGTCTCTCATGTAATTGCACCGGCAAATCCAATTGAAACCCTAGCCAAAATCCACAACCATCATCATCATCTCCTCCTACGAATCGCCGGCAAACATGGCGACTCCGGCGCCGGATTCAATCTTCCTCGAAGACTTCGGCCAGACTGTCGACCTCACCCGCCGCATCCGCGAGGTTCTACTCAATTACCCCGAGGGAACAACCGTCCTTAAGGAACTCATTCAGAACGCCGATGACGCCGGTGCCACCACCGTTTCTCTTTGTCTCGACCTCCGCTCCCACGGCCGCGATTCTCTGCTCTCCGATTCCCTTTCGCAGTGGCAAGGACCCGCGCTTTTGGCCTACAACAATGCTGTTTTCTCTGAAGAGGATTTCGTTAGTATCTCTAAAATTGGCGGGAGTAGTAAGCATGGGCAAGCTTCTAAAACCGGTCGCTTCGGGTATTTTACTAATTTTATGTTCTTAAGTGTGAATTCGATTCATTAGGTTTATTAGGTTGATGTTGTGTGCTTGTTTTGTGCTGTTAACTGGTTTAAATTCCAATGTTGTTAACTTAGGGTGTTGAGAATCTAAGCTAAGCTAGGTACTTGTTTTCATGGTTAATGGCGATACATTACAAGTGATATATGATTGATGTTGAAAGTGTTGAGTTGTATTGTATTGTAATTGCTAGTGTTATTGTGCTTGCGGTAGTTTGTTTTTTGTTTTTTATGCGGAAGGCTTGTCGTGGTTTGTTTTGTTTATTTTCTTCATTATAAACTGTGAGAATGAAAGCTGGACTCTTCTGCAATGCAATGCCAAAGTTCTGATAATGAGAGTGACAGGGCGTGTCGAAATGTCTAGATAGTATTTTGTTCATAAAATTAATGAGAGATGTGAGTGATAAGTTTTAAATAGCGGTTTCGGTAGGAATTGTGGTGACGTTGCGATTCTTGATTTTTAGGAGAATCATGGTTAAATGCGGCTGATGCAGTCTCAAAAGCGGTTAATTGCGGGGACATTAAATCCATCTTGTCGTGTTCTAGATTGTGGTTCCAAATCTTTATTTAAAACCCTAATTGGCACCGGTTAACAGTGTTGTCGATGGCGGATGGCGGTCCATGGCGGAGAGCCAAAACCCACAATAGCGGCTGATATTCACCATTACGGCGAGCCCAAAAACCGCCATTTATATCCGCCATAGCGGCCATGGCGGGGCAATTAGATAACACTGCCGGTTAAGTAATTAATAATGTTCACTCTCTTCTTTTTTCCTCACATAAGTATTTCCCGTGTTCATTATTGTTCTGTGTTTTCCAGGGTTGGCTTCAACTCAGTTTACCATTTAACAGATCTTCCTTCATTTGTGAGTGGAAAATACGTGGTATTATTTGATCCTCAGGGTGTTTATCTTCCAAGAGTTTCTGCAGCGAATCCTGGGAAGCGGATTGACTTCACCACTTCATCTGCCCTCTCCTTTTACAAGGATCAGTTTTTCCCTTTTTGTGCGTTTGGTTGTGATATGCAGAGACCTTTTGCTGGAACTTTGTTCCGTTTTCCTTTGAGGAATGTAGATCAGGCAGCCAAAAGTAAGCTTTCAAGGCAAGCATATTCACCAGAAGACATCTCCTCCATGTTTGTTCAGCTCTTTGAAGAAGGAATTTTGACACTTCTCTTTCTAAAGAGTGTGCTATGCATTGAAATGTATGTGTGGGATGCTGGCCGACCTGAGCCAAAGAAAATTCATTCATATTCTGTTAGTTCAGTAACTGATGATACGGTTTGGCATCGGCAGGCACTCCTCAGATTGTCCAAGTGTTCGAATACCCCAACTGAATTGGATGCATTCCCATTGGAATTTGTAAGTGAGACAGTAAGTGGAGGTGAAACAAAGAGACAAACAGAGAGATTTTATGTGGTACAAACAATGGCCTCAGCATCCAGTAGGATTGGTTCTTTTGCTGCAACTGCATCAAAAGAACATGACATTCACTTAATGCCGTGGGCATCAGTCGCAGCATGCATTTCTGATAATTCACCAATTGTAAGTAACTTGCAATATCTTATACTTATGTCTTTTACTTTTGGTTCTGCACCCAGGAGCATGTATTTAGTTAACTTTTATCTTTTATCAGTTATGAATGTGAGTATGGGGAAAGTAGTAACCTATTTTGCTACATTTTTGTTCACCCAGCCTAGCAATTAATTTGCCTGCAGCTTTTGATTGAAAGTTTGGCATACAACTGTTTGAAGTTTAATTTTTTTTGGCCTTGTTTATAAGGGTTTGAAAAAATTCTATTGCTCTGGTTAGAGTCTTGGAGTGATCAGGTCTTGGGGGGACATTAGAATCTTAAGAACAAACTCATGCATTCATGACTGTTTTTGTTTGAATTATTTCTTTTGGCACTTGGTGAGGTTTTAATGAAGGTATTTAAGTAGAGATGTATCTTTGTTAGGCCATTGCAACAAATTGAGCTCTTTACTGATATGGTATACCTTTTTCTTGTTTTTGAACCTTCACTCTTCTTTTGCCCCCTCGTAGGATGTGGTGTCTTCCTTTGTATGTTTCTAATTGTAAATTTGTTCCTTATTCATCCATCCAATAGAAAAGGTCTGAAAATTATAATTTTGTGTATGATTTTCACATTAAGAACTGCTGACCCTTGTTTTTGAAGGGGAATTGAACTGTCTATTAAAAATTTCACATTCTTTTGTGAAGGTCTTCTTTGTTGCTATATCTCCATGGTTCATCCCTCATATTGCCATGTATGGTTTTTACAGAACAAAGTTCTTAGGACTGGTCAGGCATTCTGTTTTCTTCCACTACCTGTTAGAACTGGACTAAGCGTACAAGTCAATGGTTTCTTTGAGGTATCATCAAATCGTCGTGGCATTTGGTATGGGGATGACATGGATAGAAGTGGAAAAGTTCGTTCTATCTGGAACAGGCTTCTTCTAGAAGACGTTGTGGTTCCTGCTTTTGTGCATATGCTGCATTGTGTAAAGGAGTTGTTAGGGCCAACAGACTTATACTATTCTTTATGGCCTATTGGTTCCTTTGAAGAGCCATGGAGCATTTTGGTTCAACAAATATACAAAAGCGTTTGTCACGCTCCAGTTATCTATTCAGAATTGAATGGAGGAAGATGGGTATCACCGAGCGAAGCCTTTCTTCATGATGAAAAATTCACCAAAAGCAAGGACCTTGGTTTGGCTCTCATGCAACTGGGAGTGCCAGTTGTGCATTTGCCCGATTCATTGTTTGATATGCTTTTAAAAAATAGTTCCAGCAAGGTGGTTACTCCTGGTACAGTACGTGAAGTTCTTAGGGAATGTGAAACATCTGATTATTTGAGCAGATCATTCAAACTTCTATTATTGGAATATTGCCTTGAGGACCTGGTTGATGATGATGTTGGTAAAGAGGCTTACAATCTGCCCTTGCTTCCTTTAGCAAATGGCAGTTTTGCATCATTTCTGGAAGCATCAAAAGGAAATTCATACTTCATTTGTGATGAATTAGAGTACAAGCTGCTGCAGCCTGTTTCGGACAGAGTGATTGATCGTAGCATTCCTTCCAACATATTGAGCAGACTCTCTGGTGTTGCAATGTCTTCAAATACCAATCTTGCTCTTTTCAGTATTCAATATTTTGTTCAGTTATTTCCTGCATTTATGCCAGCTGACTGGAAATATAAAAGTAAAGTGTTCTGGAATCCAGACTTGTGTCAAAAGCCAACATTATCATGGTTTTTGCTATTCTGGCAATATCTAGGAAAGCATAATGAAACATTGCAACTATTTAGTGATTGGCCAATTTTACCATCCACGTCTGGATTTCTTTTAAGACCTTCCAGACAATTGAAAATGATACATGGAAGCAATCTCTCGGATGTAGTACAGGACATCCTTGTGAAAATTGGATGCAATATATTGAAGTCAAGTTATGTAGTTGAACATCCGGATTTATTCAATTATGTAAGTGATGGAAGTGCAGCAGGTGTCCTGCAATCAATTTTTAATGTATTTTCAAGTGCCGATGTTATGCAAATTTCACTTGACAGTCTGATAGCTGAAGAACGAAATGAACTCCGCAAATTTCTTCTTGATCCTAAATGGTATGTTGGACACTCTATGGATGAATTCAGCTCAAGTTTTTGCAAGAAATTACCTATATATCAAGTCTATGGCAGGGAGTCTGTTCATGATTGCCGATTCTCTGACTTAGAAAATCCTCGGAAGTACTTACCACCATCGGATGTGCCAGATTTTATTCTGGTGGACATTGAATTCATTGTCAGATCCTCAAGTATTGAAGAGGAGGATATCCTGTCTAGGTATTATGGAGTTGAGAGAATGGGGAAAGCAGAGTTTTACAAGGAGCATGTTTTTCATAGAGTTGGGGAGTTGCAAGCCGAGGTTCGTGATAGCATAATGTTGTCCGTTCTACAAAATTTGCCACTTTTGTCTCTTGAGGATGTATCTATCAGGGAGCTGTTGAGAAATTTGAAATTTATCCCAACACTCACTGGGGCTCTTAAGTGTCCTTCAGTTTTATATGATCCTAGTAATGAGGAACTGTATGCGTTACTAGAAGACTCAGATAGTTTCCCTTGTGGTGCTTTCCGAGAATATGATATCCTTAATATTCTGCGTGGCCTGGGCCTTAGAACTTCAGTGTCTCCAGAAACTGTTCTAGAAAGTGCTCGATGTATCGCACATCTGATGCATGAGGATCAACAAAAGGCACATTCAAAAGGGAAAGTACTTTTCTCTTACCTAGAAGTTAATGCATTGAAATGGATTCCTGATCAAGTTGATGGTAATAAAGGAGGAGTTAACTGGATGTTATCACGAGCAGCAACTGCTTTTAGGTCTCGCAACACAAAATCTGATCTTGAAAAATTCTGGAATGACCTTCAATTGATTTCCTGGTGCCCAGTCTTAGCCTCCCCTCCACTTCACTCGTTACCGTGGCAGGTTGTTTCATCAATGGTTGCTCCTCCAAAACATGTAAGGCCACCAAGTGATTTATGGTTAGTCTCAGCTAGCATGCGGATACTGGATGGTGAATGCTCTTCGACAGCTTTATTGTATAGCCTGGGATGGATGTCACCGCCAGGAGGAGGTGTAATTGCTGCCCAATTGCTAGAGCTTGGAAAAAATAATGAGATTGTGACTGATCAAGCTCTTAGGCAGGAATTAGCCTTGGCAATGCCAAGGATATACTCGATACTGACAGGAATGATGGCTTCAGATGAGATTGAGATTGTTAAGGTTGTTCTTGAAGGCTGTCGATGGATTTGGGTGGGAGACGGATTTACAACCTCTGATGAGGTTGTCCTTGATGGTCCTCTTCATTTGGCTCCATATATACGAGTTATACCAATTGACTTGGCGGTTTTCAAAAAATTGTTTCTAGAACTTGGCATTCGTGAATTCTTGCAACCTGCTGACTATGCTAATATTCTCCATAGGATGGCAAATAGGAAAGGCTCATCTCCTCTTGACACACAGGAGATTAGGGCTGTTACACTAATAGTGCATCAGCTAGCTGAAGTTTATCATCACGAACAAAAAGTTCAGCTCTATCTTCCAGATGTGTCAGGTAGACTATTTCTTGCGGGTGACTTGGTTTATAATGATGCCCCCTGGTTGCTTGGCTCCGAAGATCTTGATGGCTCGTTTGGAAATGCATCAACTGTGCGTTGGAATGCAAAAAGCACAGTTCAAAAATTTGTGCATGGAAACATTTCTAATGATGTGGCAGAGAAGTTGGGCGTCTGTTCTCTTCGCAGGATGTTGCTGGCTGAGAGTGCAGATTCAATGAATTTTGGTCTGTCTGGAGCTGCTGAGGCTTTTGGGCAGCACGAGGCATTGACAACGAGGCTTAAACATATTCTTGAAATGTATGCTGATGGACCTGGGACTCTGTTTGAGCTGGTACAGAATGCAGAAGATGCTGGAGCTTCTGAAGTAATATTTCTTTTGGATAAATCTCAATATGGGACTTCTTCCATTCTCTCTCCTGAAATGGCTGATTGGCAAGGTCCTGCTTTGTACTGCTTTAATGACTCAGTTTTTAGTCCACAAGATCTTTATGCAATTTCTCGTATTGGTCAAGAAAGTAAACTTGAGAAGGCTTTTGCAATAGGAAGATTTGGACTGGGATTTAATTGTGTCTATCACTTTACAGACATCCCTATGTTTGTTTCTGGTGAAAATATAGTAATGTTTGACCCTCATGCCAGTAATTTGCCTGGAATATCTCCTTCCCACCCTGGTTTACGAATTAAGTTTGTGGGACGGCAGATTTTGGAGCAATTTCCAGATCAATTTTCTTCAATGTTGCATTTTGGCTGTGACTTGCAACAGTCCTTTCCTGGTACACTATTCCGATTCCCTCTTAGAACTGCAAGTGTTGCCTCCCGGAGTCAAATTAAAAAGGAAGTTTATACACCGGAAGATGTCAGATCTCTATTTGCTACTTTTTCTGAGGCTGTTTCTGAAACATTACTTTTCTTGCATAATGTGAAATCTATCTCTATTTTTGTGAAGGAAGGAACAGGAGATGAAATGCACCTACTGCACCGTATACGCAGGACCTGTATTGGTGAGGCTGAAATTGAATCTACTGAAGCCAAGGACGCGTTCAACTTTTTCAAGGAAAATAGACGTGTTGGAATGAATAGAGTCCAGTTTCTGAAGAAACTAAGCCAATCAATTGGCCGAGAGTTGCCTTATAAATGCCAAAAAATCCTGATTACAGAACAAGGCATATCTGGTCACCATTTGCACTATTGGATAATCACAGAATGTTTAGGCGGTGGGTATGTTCGAAAGGGCACATCTGAGGCATCCAATAGCAATTGTTACAATTTTGTTCCTTGGGCTTGTGTTGCTGCATATTTGAATTCTGTTAAGCTTGATGGGGACCTACTTGATAGTGCAGAGGTGGAGGGTGATTGTGTAGTTTCTCCTGACCTTTTTCAAATTGCTAGTTTGCCTACACATCCACTGGAAAATTTTGAAGGTCGCGCATTCTGTTTTTTACCTTTACCTATCAATACTGGTCTTCCTGCTCACGTAAATGCATACTTTGAACTATCATCAAATCGCAGGGATATCTGGTTTGGTTCTGATATGACAGGGGATGGAAGAAAGCGGTCAGACTGGAATATATACCTCCTTGAAAATGTTGTTGCTCCTGCCTATGGTCGTTTGCTTGAGAAGGTAGCACTGGAAATTGGCCCTTGCAATTTATTCTTCTCATTATGGCCGACAACAATAAGCTTAGAACCTTGGGCATCAGTAGTACGGAAACTATATCAATTTGTAGCTGAATTTGATCTCCGTTTATTATATACTGAAGCTAGAGGAGGTCAGTGGATTTCAACCAAATATGCTATATTTCCCGACTTTACTTTCCCCAAAGCAGCCGAACTTATAAAAGCGTTGTCTGGTGCTTCTCTACCTGTCATTTCACTTCCACAGTCACTTTTAGAAAAGTTTATGGAAATATGTCCATCGTTGCATTTTCTGAAACCTAAGCTATTAAGGACTTTGTTAATCAAAAGGAAGCGTGAGTTCAAGGACAGGGATGCAATGATTTTGACGCTTGAATATTGCTTACATGACTTGCAAGAATCTATGCAGTTTGATACGCTCTTTGGCCTGCCGTTGTTGCCACTCGCAGATGGTTCCTTTACATTAGTTGATAAGAAGGGGGTTGGAGAAAGAGTTTACATTGCACGTGGCGATGAATATGGCCTTCTCAAAGATTCCCTTCCTCATCAACTTGTAATTAATGCTATTCCAGAAGAAGTTCATCAAAAACTTCGTTACATTGCCCAAACAGATAGCACAAATATTTCTTTCTTGTCATGCCATTTGCTTGAGAAACTTCTAGTGAAATTACTTCCTGTAGAGTGGCAACATGCTTCACAAGTAAGTTGGACTCCTGGTATTCATGGCCAACCAAGTTTAGAATGGTTGCAACTGCTATGGAATTATCTGAAAGCATATTGTGAGGATCTTTTAATTTTTTCTAAGTGGCCTATATTGCCTGTTGGCAATGATTGCTTGATGCAGTTAACACCAAATTCAAATGTGATAAAAAATGATGGTTGGAGTGAGAAAATGTCTTCTTTATTGTTGAAGGTTGGATGTTTATTCTTAAGGCAGGACCTGCAACTAGATCACCCTGAATTGGAATGCTTTGTCCAATCACCTACAGCAAGAGGTGTATTAAATGTGTTTCTGGCTATTGCTGGGGAGCCACAGAAGATTGAAGGGATTTTTACACATGTATCTGAAGGAGAGCTTCATGAACTCCGGAGCTACATCCTCCAGTCAAAATGGTTTTCTGAAGAGCAAATCGATAGCACACATATTGAAATCATCAAACACCTTCCTATATTTGAGTCATACCAAAACAGAAAACTTGTAAATTTGATTAATCCTATCAAATGGCTTGGTCCTACTGGTGTTCGCGAAGTTCTTTTAAGGGATAGCTTCATAAGAATTGAATCAGAAATGGAAGGGGTCATTATGAGAAGGTATTTAGGGATAAAGGAACCAACAAAAATGGAATTCTTCAAAGATCACATATTCAATCATATGTCAGAGTTCCTTTTGAACCAGGAAGTTGTGTCATCCATTCTGAATGACGTTCAGGATTTGATCAAAGAGGATATCGCTCTCAAGTCTACACTTTCTGCTGTACCATTTGTTCTGGCTGCCAATGGATCTTGGCAACAACCATCTAGGTAACATTACCGTTTTTCTTCTTCTTTTTCTAACATAGAATCTTAAATATAGAAAATCTTAAATAAGATGCCTTTCTTTATTATATAACATCTTTTCTGTGATATTGCTGCTAAATACTATCAGTGCCAGGAAGAAAGCAAGACAACATGTTTGAAATGTTGTACTAGAAACAAAATCATTAATTGCTGTGGGAACAAAGCGATAAATATTTTCCAGGACAACATTTATCATGCTAAGTATTTTAACGGGAACAACATTAATAGCAAGTTTTGTTGCAAATTTTTAATGTTTCCTCAAATTTTTTAAATGCTTTGACTGATCTAGTTATTTAAAGGCATATATATAAGACTTGAATATTCTATTATGTTAGATTTTTTGAAAAAAGAAGGTTGTAGACATCTCACAAATCTGCTGGGTTTGTTTCCTGATTTTCCACGAGAAGGCTGTTTGTTATGGCCGATTTTAATCAACCATTTTAGGAATATTTTCTGCTATCGCTCATCTGTTGCGGATACAAATTTCAGTACAGATTTATGTGATCTATATTTTCCATAACACTAGTTTCTTTTTCGTAGCAGATGTTTGTGTTAGAAATAAAATCACAAAAGCGTTTCACCTTCTTAAGTAGTTTTTGGTATATAGTATTATAATTAACATTAATATTGAAAATTATAGCGGTTAAGAAATGTGGTTGGGCCTAACTCAACCCTATAAAACCGGCTTGTAGAGTGAGGATTGTTCCCACTTATAAGCACATGTTCAGACCGTATATTATCCGACGTGAGACTCTTAATAGTAGCTATTATATAATTATTGTGGAATAATCATAACAGAATCAAATGATTCTGTTTGTACAACTCATTAAAGATTAGGATTAATGTAATTAACTAGCTATTATTTCCTGGTCCTTTCTATAATTAGAATTAGCATTCATGGGAATTAATTCCCCTGATTCTTAGGTCAGATTTTTCTTCTAAATCCTGCCTTATGTATTCTATAAATACAGTATATGTAATTCTCATCAAATACAAGGAAATATAAAATATGTTTCTACATGGTATCAGAGCACGATCTGAACCATCCCTAACCTAGCGCCGCCAAACTATGGAGGATCCCAAATTTGATGAATCGCTCAAAGTGGAGACTAGATCATTTCCGTCCAGTTCACACGAAGGGCTCACTCACCTCATCATAGGCCATAAATTAAATGGCCAAAACTATACCCAATGGGTAAGGTCAGTCAAGATCTTCCTCGAAGGAAAAGGAAGGGAAGGCTACACCACATGAGATTCTAAATGTCCCGAAAAAGGAGACAAAAACTTCCAGAAATGGAAACTTGAGAACAGCCACGTAATGACATGGCTACTCAATACCATGACAAATGAAATTGGTGAATTTCATGTTCTATGACACTGCAAAAGAGATATGAGATGCAGTGAAGGAAACATACTCAAATGTTGACAATACATTTGTCGTATTTGAGATTAAAAGCATTCTTCATGACCTAGACAGGGAGAATCTTCTGTTACTGAGTATTTTAATATACTCAACAAACATTGGCAGCAACTCGACATATATAAAAAAGTTACACGGTGTTGTACAGAAGATCAAAAGAAGTATAAGGAACTGGTGGAAAAAGATAGGATTTACAAATTCCTATTGGGGCTAAACAAGGACCTAGATGAAGTTCGTGGAAGGATCCTTGGAACCAAGCCACTTCTCAAAATTCGAGAAGCCTTTTCAGAAGTGAGAAGGGAAGAAAGCAGGAGGAGAATCATGTTGAGAACACCCAACTCAGTTCCGTACAGCGAGAGCTCTGCAATGGCAGCAAGAGGGAATTAACCTTGGCCACCACAAAAGAAAACCCGCCCCTGGTGTGATCACTGCAAGAGACCAGGCCACACAAAGGAAACATGTTGGATCATACATGGAAAACCTCCAGAGACCAAATTGTTCAAAGGCAAAGAGGGCAGAGGTAACACAACATTTAACAATCAAGAAGCTGAGGTATACTCTAACCCATCTCTTTTTAGCAAAGAACAAATGGAGGCTCTTCAAAAACTCTTTCAGCAAACCATGTTAACTGCAGAAAAAGGTGGTACTGCCGTAGTGGCTCAAAGAGGTAATTACTTGCATGCTCTAAACACTAGTAAGGAAAAAACAAAATCATGGATTGTTGACTCAGGGGCTTCAGATCACATGACTAGAGATTTTACTTTGTTTAGTAGTTATTCTCCATGTCCATATAACTATAATGTTCGAATAGCTGATGGTACACATTCTAAGGTCATGGGCTTCAGATCACATGACTAGAGATTTTACTTTGTTTAGTAGTTATTCTCCATGTCCATATAACTATAATGTTCGAATAGCTGATGGTACACATTCTAAGGTCATGGGTAAAGGATCAATTATCATTTCACCAAATATTACACTTGACTCAGTTTTGTATGTGCCTAAACTGGATTGTAACTTGCTGTCTATTAGCAAGATTACAAGAGATTTGAAATGTGTTACTAAATTCTTCCCTAACTTGTGTGAATTTCAGACTTTGGAGTCGGGGAAGACGATTGGCAATGCCGAAGAGTGTGTTGGACTCTACCTCCTTCAAGTGGAAAAATCAGAAGAAAAACTCAAGAATAATTATCATGTTGCAGCTGTAGTTTCAAGTGATAATAATCCTGTACTGATGTGGCACTATAGATTAGGCCACCCAAATTCATATACTTGGAAAAAATGTTTCCCTCTTTATTCAATAAAAACAAGGAACATTTTCAGTGTGAAATTTGCCAATTGTCTAAACATATCCGAAACCATTACTCACCCCAATCCTATAACCCTCCAAACCTGTTTCGTTAATTCATAGTGATGTATGGGGACCATCACGAGTCCACAACATTATAGGCTCGAGATGGTTTGTCACCTTTATAGATGATCACACACGTGTCACCTGGGTGTTTCTAATGAACGAAAAATTAGAAGTAGGGAGAATATTTGAAATTTATCATAAGATGGTACAAACACAATTCCATAGCAATATTCAGATACTTAGAACTGACAATGGTCGTGAGTATTACAATCTTGCTCTAAATTCCTATCTTCAAAAGGTTGGAATTGTTCACCAAAGCTCGTGTGTGGACACTCCCCAACAAAATGGAGTAGCAGAAAGGAAGAATAGACACATTTTGGATGTGACTAGATCAATCATGTTAGCCACAAATGTCCCACAACACTTTTGGGGAGAAGCTGTCCTTTTAGCAACTCACCTTATAAATCGAACGCCCTCCCGCATCCTTAACTTTAAGACCCCACTCTCCACACTTCAAAACCTATTTCCAATCAGCAAAATCTTTTCCTCTATTCCATTAAAAATATTTGGATGCTCAACTTTTGTCCATAACCTCAACCCTCACCGAAGCAAATTAGACCCAAAATCCATAAAATGCATTTTTCTTAGTTACTCTCCTCACCAAAAGGGATATAGGTGTTACTCTCCCCATACCAAATTTTTTTACCACACTATGGATGTAACCTTCTTTGAAAATCAACCCTATTACACCAAAATTGGTATTCAGGGGGAGCAATCATACATACATCATATCGAAAATTCAGAATACCAACTTTTGCCTCTTGAACTAACCGAACCTATGCCTAAACCAGTTGGAAAATTACTAGACCAAGCTTCTAACATTCAGCCGAGTGAAAGGACAACAGAAGCTGTGACGGAAGCAGGACCAATTATAATCTCATCCACATCTCAACAGGATTGTGATCCAAAAACAGGTAATTGGAAGGGTTTTTGTTATAAAAGGAGGAGGAAGGAGGTAGAGTCAAGCATAGCTCCAATGCAAAGCCATGAGTCAAACCAAACTCTAGAAAATGAAGTTCCCACAGGTAATATTCTTCCTAACTCTGAACATGTTGATACAACAGATATTGATATTCCTATTGCTATGAGAAAAGGGGTTAGAACTTGCACGAAACACCCTATTGAAAAATATATCTCCTATGGAAAACTATCACAAAGTTACAGGTCCTTTGTAGCAGCTGTTGACAACATCGAAATCCCAAATAATATTCAAAAAGCATTGCAGAAACCTGAATGGGCAGCAGCTGTAACAGAAGAAGTTCAAGCACTTGTAAGAATTGACACATGGGAGATCACTGCTATACCAGAAGGGAAGAAAGCAGTAGGATGCAAGTGGATATTTTCCATTAAGCACAATGCTGATGGGAGTATAAACAGGTACAAAGCCCAGTTAGTTGCTAAGGGGTTCACATAATCGTATGGGGTGGATTATGAGGAGACTTTCGCCCCTGTTGCGAAGCTCAATTCTGTCTGGTTCTACTATCTCTGGCAGCAAATCTAGATTGGCCCCTACACCAACTAGATATAAAGAATGCATTTTAAAATGGAGAATTAGAAGAAGAGGTATATATGCAAATTCCTCCGGGACTTGAATCACCTGGAACCTCCAACATGATGTGTCGACTTCGAAAATCTCTATATGGCCTCAAACAATCACCAAGGGCATGGTTTGACAGACTAACAAAAGTTGTCAAGCAAGATGGTTTTGTTCAATGTCAAACAGACCATACTATGTTAAAACACTCTTTGGATGGGAAAATAGCTTTGTTTATTGTCTATGTTGATGATATCGTAATTACAGGAGATGATGATGCACAAGTCAACCAGTTAAAGAAGCTTCTAGCAAAAGAATTTGAAGTCAAAGACTTAGGACAACTCAAGTATTTTCTAGGGATGGAAATTGCACGAACAAAGAATGGGATTTCAGTTTCTCAAAGGAAATACACTCTGGATTTACTTCAAGAAACAAGTATGCTTGGATGCAAAGCTGGCAATACTCCCATAGAACAAGTAAAAAGGAGAGAAGATGAGAATGTACTAGCTAATAAAGATAGATATCAAAGTCTAGTCGGAAAACTAATCTATCTAACTCACACCAGACCAGACATTGGTTTTGTTGTAAGCATGGCT